CTGTTTCATTTGCCCAGCCACGTCCTCCTCAAATGTCTGTTAATGTCTCTTTCTTTTTCTCATGGCGTCTTCCAATGTCTTTGTCTCATAGTGTCCAATGTCTTTTCTTCTTCTTTCAATCACTTTCTTTTTTCTTCCAATAACTTTCTTTCTCATAATGTCTTTCTTCTTCTTTCAATCACTTTCTTTTTTCTTCCAATAACTTTCTTTCTCATATCTGACGCACACAAATGTGTTGTCTCTTTCGCTCGGCTCACACACCGTTCCTCTTCGTGCACATAACTTCACTCAGTTTGTGCAAAAGTCTGTGGCCTTTTCTTTGCCGCAATGATGCTTCAATAGAAATGGAGGCTGGAGAAGTCTTCTTCGAAGGTTCTTGTTAGCTGCAGCCGATACTGCTGTTGTTGGTGCCCCCTGTGGGTCGGGGGAGACGCTGATGGTCCGTTTTGGTGGCGCTCAGTTGTGGTTTGTGGCGGGGACGATTTTGGCAATCGGCCAATGAAACAGACAGAAGTTTTCTCAGAAAAAACAGACAAACAAGAAACACAAACAAGTGTGTTAATACAATACAAAACCAATAATTAATTACAAATCTAAATAAACCTATGAAATAATTAATATTAACATTTTAAACATTAAATTCTGAAAACCAAATCTGCATTCAACTGCTATCCTAAGCCCTATTTTTTCAAAAGTATAATGCTCTCTAAGATCATTTTAAATTTTATATCACCAAAATGTTGGGGAAAAATGTTTAATAATTTGTCTAGACGCCTTGGAAATGGCCAAAAAATAAAAATAATGCCTCTTTACAATCTAACTCAAAGTTCTGTGATCATATGACTCTATGACAGTAACATTATCGTGTGTGTAAATGTAATTTTCTACTAAAAATATATTTTATATGCATCCTTCTTAACGGAGAGAGGGAGACAGCAGAGAAGGAGGGAGGGGAGGGGCTGTGTGGCTTCTCAAACAGAGGAGAACATGTACGACTGAAATACACCAAATTCATGAACATCCCCTTTTTAAAATTTGCTACATTTTCCTCGTTTTTTATCGTGACAATGTTTTAATCAGTGGTGAGAGTTTTCTCACGTCAAACGACACTTTACACTATCTGTCTTATCATTAAATACGTCAGAAATGGAAAACATTACAATTTGCTTACATGAATAATGTATTACTAGTTACAGCAGGATCAATCTCTTTCCTAGTAAGTGTGTTCCTCTTTTTCATAATAGTAGTATCTCTGTAACTATTAAAACATTACATCACAATACAACAGAACTCCCAGAACTGATCCTTTTGTCATTTCTCTACATGAAACTCGCATCTACAGCCAAGTGGCTCTCTGATCCTGATTAATCAGATCATTATTATTATAGTCAGAATCCAACAGTTTAAATACTTGGCTTTTTTGTTTAAATTAAATGTACCCTTTTTCCCGCCCCCGGGGGATATGGAAGGTTTTATTATCCTGTAACTTCTGACCCCATAGCTGTCCCTGTTTCTAATTCTATTTCTATTTTCACTAAACACTTACAATACAATACAATACAATTTATTCTTGTATAGCCCTAGGTGACAACAAAAGTCATCTCAGAGGACTTAACAAAAACATTGAAATCACCAACACAGGTCAGAGAATCAACAGTTAAAACACATGAAGAATATAAAGCACACACAGAAGAAAATGTCCATACATGTTGTAGAATGCTAAAGTGTCCTGATCATCAGTAGATATAATTGACGGC